AAAAAGAGATCGGTTGGCAAGCATATTCGTCTGGTCCTATGACTGCATGGCAAAATTCTGTTATACATGCATGTTTTTAATGAGCTTTTGATGCTGTAATCTCTCATGTAAATCGCAGTCAGACGCATTATAGATCACGCATGCTAGGATTGTCTGAAAATTCACATTGCATTGCCAACTCCTATAATAACGGGAATTTGGCCTGCTGTTTTTCACGCTGTCTACTCGACATCATCGGTCCATTTGCTCCACGGGATAAACGTAAATACATGCGGGTGCCGTTCCCCGGATCACCAAAGAACACCTTTGAATAGGTTCAACATCGCAAGTATTTTTCTCCTGCGTTTCAACAAGTATACCTTCGGCAGAAATTTGTAGTAGAAAACTTAGCCAATCTCAAAGTTTTGAAACGGTAAGGTTCGAAGGTCTGTATATATGATGTATATATGTCAAGCCAGTTTTCACAGCAAGAAATATAATCAAAACTCGCTGGTCTCACAGCTAGCTTAGCTTGCTCACAGTTATCACAATCAATGAATGTTTAACAGCTAAAACACTCCAGGGAAAACATTAGTTGCAGACGCTGTTGACGCGTTTTATCTAAATACTACATGGTAGTCCATAGAGGAGGGTATTTTTGGGAGGTTCCAGAGCAATACATGGGTGTAAATTTAGCTGCATTTGGTGGCATTTCGCTCAAATAGACGTAATGTTTGGAGAGATTAAAAACTCGACCTACAGGAAAAAGCTATTTTTTACCAAAAGTAAAAACAGTTAACTATAAGATCACTTGGACCAGTTTGGCGACCAGCTCCCGCTAAATTGTATTTTTTATTTCAGTGAGTCTATACTCTGACGGATAGAAAATGGAAGTGAAATCTCTACAAAAGAAAGCTCTTAAATCCTGTGGTGCTGTAATGATCGTTCTTGCTGCCGCAATAATGATCATCGGATTCATTTTGGAATTTCACGGGGACTTCAGCAAAATAGCTGACGCTAGACCATCGAATATTTACCATATAATGTACCCACACACTCAATATTGGCTCGGGTTGCCGGTGAGTATAAAACATTTCATCGCATCGTAACTGTAAATGCATGTAGGATTTAGAATGTTCAATTGAGCATATTTGCAACATTCTAGAATTCCATAAATTCTACTTGTAAATTTCTACTTGTAAATATTTGTTGAAAATTTTCACGCCCGCTGGGGAAAGCAGCTTTATGCCTGCTTGAAAGTTTCAAGATGGGAAAATGAAATACTCTGCGATCTGATTTATGTATCATGTGATAACCTGTACCATCCCGTCTGTGAATAAATCTGGATATTCTCGCGTGCGGCTGTCATCATGTTGTAACATGCTATCAGATGTTGCAATCATAATCTGATAATTATTTCTAAGTGCTCACCACACGCAGGTCTGTTGAGTCAACAGCCTCTTCGCGAACTGTCAACAAACTTGTGGAAAGCATTTTGAACACATATTCCTAGTGAGGGAAATCTCAATTGCTGAACTCGAATACAGCAGCATTGAAGTGTGGGAATGCTTATTAGGCAAAACGTACATCGTTCTTGTGAAAATACTTGCAAGGGCGTAACGAATAAGTGCCTTGTATTGATGAAATGCCATGAAATACCCCCTGTGTATAATCATTGTATAAATATACGCTCGCATTGCAAAGCTTTTAGCCATAATATTTGTGGTATAATATCGTAACGGGGGGCTAAAAGGGATATTGTTTTAGCGAGGGCTTAAGACTAACTCTTATGCTATAAGAAGCATTGTCAACAGTAAGCCCTATTAAAATTGTTTTCAAAGTGAGATTATCCCAATGGGCATGGGGGAACACTTGTGATTCCAACCCCTTGAGTTTTTATGCCATTCACCGTAATTGCAAAGCATTGCCACTTATGGCAAGATCAGGAAAAGCAACGATGATAACGTATATTAGGGAATTCTTGTATCTTTGTCACGCTAATTTTATTGTCCATTTTTTAGCTTTTTCTCCTCGCGCTGTATGTGCTGATGACCAGTTTTTATTCGTCAACCATTCTGGTAAGTGTCAGAGGCGTAGCCGCCTTTAGGAGGGCGAGCGTGATTAGGGAGGGGGGGGGGGGGTGGAGCACCATATCTTCCAGATAAGTTATTATTTAGTAACGCCTGCTTAATTTTCGATCAGGATTCAAATGACAGGGGGCCGACTACTTCCATTCTCTCTTTTCTACGCCGTCTATTTTATGCGAACAGTACTGTACTGTAGTGTACTATAAATAGTACTATATATATAGTGTCGTTCAGTGACTGGTTGACTATATATTATAGTCATCTCATTTGGTTGTAAAATTTAGAAAAAGGGTAAAAAATATTATTGTAGAACTCTTTATAGTGTGGTAAGAGATAGAGGTGACTGTCCATATCAGTAAATAAAGAAGAAAATCATGCTTCCATTTCTTGATGGATTATTCATTTTCTATTTAAGCACATCATTGGTTCGGTATTGTGTGGTATTCTCATGGTTGCTGCAATATGTGCCATTGGTTTACAAAGCTCTGTATGGTACATTGCACTTGATCTCGCTAATATAGTGAACAGTGCTCAATGTACGGACGCTTACAATGCGGTTGGTTCCAATCCACGCTGCAACTGCTATCGACAACTCCACTACAGCGATACTGACGATCTGGATGATGACGAAACACGTAACGTAGATTACATTTAATTTGCATGCTTTCGATTCATTTTGTCATCTTTCCTATCCAATGAGCAGAGTTTTTGAACGTTTTGCCTGGGATATAATTATGATAATGCCAATTTTTGCATCCAGAGAGGTGGGGGTAAGGATTATGACACTGAGGTTACCTTTCCCTCCCTCCCTCCGTTCCTCTTTCCCTCTATAATGTTTTCCAACTTGTAATGTTATGTCGTAACTTGTGTTTTTCCTATTTTTCCCATATGGCACAGTGCTCAGTCTTATGTCGTGTTCAGAAACAAAGCATTTCCCGGCAATAGTGAGCGCAATGGCCATCCTATCAGCCATCGCTTATCTCGTATGCCAGGCGACGTGCTTTGTGTATGCTGCTAAATTATGGGGATCTTTGAATACGGTAAGTTCACCAGAGCGTTACCGCAACACACAGCTTTTTTATTGCGTATGAATACAAGCACCTACTTAACAACGTCAGTAGCATTCGCCAAACTCGGACTATAACACCACATTTTGCATCAACAAATGGGGTTTTCTCTCTAATACACCATATACTGACATGGTCCCCCTATGATCTGATCGTCTCTAATAAACGCTCCTCTCCAATAAGAGCCCTCGCCGTCTCAATCAATCATTCTCTAAACACCTTTCTCATTTAAAATATCCCCCCGGCCATTCAGTTTTTGTTTTTTCCAGGCTAAAGACGATGAGAACATTTTTCACGAGACCACAAGTCAACAGGTTTTGCTCAATGAGCATCCAATATAACGTATCGTTTATTAATGTATTTGCACCACCCTAGCGTCATGCACAAGGCTTTGAAATATCCTGCTTGCAATATCTTGCTATGATTGTAGAGACCGTACCAAAATATAACCACGACCAGAATTATTGTAACTGGATAATTTAATGTTATTCTTCATTACCCCGTTATGTATAAACTTTATAGTATGGAATGGTAAGAGTTGTAGCTATATACCAACCGTGTAAAGGAACATATATTGAGTGTCTTAAACTCTATACGACGTGTTTTAATATATGTTTACTGCATTATAGTGAGCAAAAAATTCCAGCGCATATTTCTTTAGTTTATTTATGGAAGTGTCACTATAGTTAACTTGATAACATACTGTTATATTTTCGCAGCGGTCTGCCTCCAAGACTCTTGAGTGTGTCAAAATTCCCATGTAAAAATATTGGCTTTCGTGCGGTCTTAAAGTAATTCCTTTAATTTCGGATGAATAACAACTCTGACCACTTTCAACGCATATTTGTGCATACATGCAGCGTGTCTGTACATATTTGAAAAGAATATGTCGGTGAATTGAGCGATTACAAATGATTACAAATTCGAAGAAGAATTTCTGAATATCTGTTGAGCAAATTGCCGCGTAATTTACAGCTAGATTCGGTGAGTTTAATTTTGTTTTTTATATATTATACCCAGAGGCTTTATTTCATTTAAAACTTTGCGGATGACGTTCAGGTGAAAGGCAACCAGTATTGATATTTTCTCAGCTTCATTTCATCGTATTTTTCAGCTTCCCGATTATATGTTTTTCAATGATAAAAATAAAATTAAAGACCGAAAGGTTTAATTCTTTATTCCGATATGCTCTCAGCTGGATTATGCTGTATTTTCTCAGCTTCCAATCATAGTTCTCAATCATGATAAAAAATAAATAAAACCTGACAAGTTGATTCTTACGAACCAACCAAGAGCATAAACTGGGCTCTTGATTAGAGCGTTGCCTCGGGCCTCTCGTCTCGGTACGCCTCGGTCCGTCAAGCCTCGACGAGCGCGAGAAGCTTGATCACTGAGCTTGATGGATTGAGTTTGAAACTTTACGTCATCGACCGACCCATCCTTTCTATCGTTGTGACGTCGAAGTAACTGTACACAATGTAGTCTTGCTGACGTTTCTCAAATAGCTTTCCTCAGATAACAGTTTTCCAATGAGTGTATACACAACTGAATGAAACGTAAACATATAGCCGTGTACGTGAACGGGAGGCTGTAACTAAAAAATGTTTTTAGTTTTTCAATGTCTTCAATTCGGCTAATGAAAGACCTTTTCAATGAAGCATACCAAGCTAGCCCGGTCCTATTTCGTGCAGTTACAGCAGAAACATACAACGCATGCTGGCATATATGAGTATTAATTGAGGAATGTGAATATATTTCAAGCCACCCCCGAGCTTTCCGGCATTACATTGTTTTGTACTGATGGAAAAGCTATATCTCGCAATTATCAGTGTTAATGATGTAAATATATATAGTCTTTTCTTTAATTGAACTCGTAAAGGCTATACGTCATACGCTCTCAAAGACTGTGAAAGACGGCTTCACATAACAAGGGGAGACTTTGGTGAAAACAGAACAATACACTGGCGAGAATCTAGCGAGATAATCTACAATTAATCGTCGCAATGGCCCGATCATCTGGACAACATAAATGCGGTCTTATATTTTGTGGTATTACGATGCTGATCTTAGGTTCTGGGATTACGATTACGGGATTTTTAAACGATTTCTTGGATCCCTACGATGAGCTATCGAAACCCACTAGAATCTATTTTACCCACACGCAATATTGGCTCGGAATTCCAGTAAGTCAAAATATGATTATTATACTTATATGACTTATATATCTTCAAATTTCATTATTGATTTCATTTGGTAATACACATCATGTTATTATATCTCTAAGATACTAATATTTGCCAACCTTGACCTGCCAAAGAGCTATATGAACAACTGAATTCAATTGACTTTTAGGCTATGAGTCTTTCTTCAGTGTATGAATCTTTCTTCAACGTTTGAAAAAAACTGGCCTCAGATTTTGAACACGCATGATTTAGATGATAAAGTGTTTTACACCGAATACAACGTATATCAGTGGCGGAAATCAGACCAACATTAACAGCTGGTAGCGGAGTAATTTCCAACCATAAATGAAAACAATAGATTGAATGTAATGTCTGAGCCTTCGTTCGGCTGTCTTTACTGTGTTCATTCATAGTATATATTTGAGTGACCACCATTTAAGTTACTTTTACACTTGAAACAACTTATTAGTCAGGTTTAACATTTACTTTTTCGGAAGCAATTATATTCGGCTTGATTTTTATGCTTGTCAAGAATTTGAAATATTCTGAAGATATCTTGGTAGCATTGAAGCGCCTCAAAATAAACAGTAGCTGTTTTGATTTTTAACAAAGGTTCTTTTGTTCGGCCGTGAAAATGAATGTTTGGTTACTAAGGAAGTGCACCGGAATATATATCATCTTCAAAGTCTTTTGTCATAAAAATAGAACAATACCAAAGTGTATATCTAACTTGCTTGCATACTGAATGATATATATGGCTGAAAACTGCTAGGTTCGTTCACGAAATTTGTACAACGTAAGACCAGTTGAAACGAATAACGGTTCATAGTAAAACTGAAACAAACCCATTTTCCATAAACCCATTTTCCATACGTGTCATTTTTAATTATTTTTAATTGTCCGATAATTATAACGCTAATTTATTTCCCCATATTTCAGCTATTTCTGCTGGGAGTCTTCGTAACTACTACATCATGTTCTAAAATTAGTTGCCTGGTAAGATACTGCATGATTTATTCATATTTCTACGGTATGACAACTGTCCTCTGTTTTCTTTGATTTGTTTTCGTTCTTCTTTCCTTTATTCAACCATTTCCTTTCGTCAACCAATGTTGATATGGAGTGGTTGTTTGTCATTAATGATGACTATACTCGTATAATTCATATTGCATTCTGCGACTTGAAAATATTCGAGTCTTCGGTTCTCATGATCATTGCAACTCGACTGTTTTTGTTACAGAAAGTCTTCGGTTTAATGGCAGCATCGATGGCGTTGATATTAGCAATGTTTGCCGTGGTTTTGGAAGGCCCTGAGTGGCGAAGGACTCTTAAGTACACAGCTGTAATAAATGATTTGAAATGCAACAGCACGGAGGATAGAGGATGTGTTTGTCGTCAAGGTAATACACCACTACAACGACTTGGGTTTTGACTTATCTGTTGTGTACATAGGCTTCGTGGAATCGTAGTGATAAGTACAACCAGCTAGTTCCCGGGCATTTAGATTGTATTTTGATAGTCTTGTAGTGTTCACCAATTCAATAAGGACGTGATCGATGATCTTTCCCTGTTCATACACTAATATAAATACGATAAGCTAAATTTCTATTTCTTCACTCCCTGGTGAAGACGTACACCTTAACCTTGGCCCCACGCTCCACCCTAACCATAGCCTTCGGAAATCAGCATTTTGCTTAATGCTCAAGTTCATCCAGGTCACCATATGAATGTCTCGTCATAGCATATACCCATGAACAATTCTACGTTATACAGGCAGCATAATAACAGCTGCATATTTCACTTTTACAGATGACAAGGATTCCTCGATCATTCTTGGTATGGCGATTCCCTCGATTTCGTGCGATGAGATAAAGTACCGTGCTGTTATCTATTCTGTTATGGTGGGTTTCTCTGTGCTCGCTATTCCGTTCTGTCTTTTTTGCGCCTTCATTTACTTCAGAATCTTGGGATGGATGTTACATGTAAGTTAATTCAAGGATCTCAACCTTAATCTACTCATTTACATTGTTAATATGACCCAGGAGTAACCAATTAGACTTGCTTCAAGCTAGCTTTAAAAGTTTCAAGGGGCTGTATTTTGTCTGCATCTCACTACAGCGGTGATCTTGTTTTGTTTCAGATCAGTTACGATAACCCGATTGATGACTATTACGCGAAGGCGGTTAACAGCCATTTTATCAACGGTCATCACGGGCGAGGAGTGGGACGAGCTAATGAGGTGGCCCTTGGAACATATCCTCATTAACAGCCAGATATAATCGCCCACTAAAACTTCATAATAAAAACAAGTACTAAATCTCAACAAATCCTCAACGCATTGGTTGCTTGCGGATATTTTATACCATTAATGTTAGAAGTAATGGTAGCCGGGTTTTGTTCAAAAGCGCTGATATTTATAGGATTCATGATGAAATTACACGTAGTCGTAACTAAATTAGTATATAGCTATATTGAAGCAGAGATGTGTGTTACAAGATACTGTGGATAACATATTCATTATTGTCTTATTGGCCGTAATTAATGTAATTTTAAATGGACTGCTCTTAGAGTACGACTGTATTCAAAAGAATACGACTAATTTCAAGGTTTCATACACAATGTTTTTTACGATAAACACGTAACGTACGATATATTTATCTCAGCCAATGGCGATGAGACAATGTCAAGATGCTACGTGACCTACTTCCAAATGTTGTTTATACTCGTGCAAATAATAAAAATAATTATAGTTATTAGTCATCTTTCAGTTTTCCTTTCAAAACAGCCGTACTGACACGTATCCGATATAAACAAAAATAGTTTGATTTCATAGTTTAGTGAATGTTAAGTAACTGGGCTTAACTTTCTCGAAACATCACAAATACGTGAGTCTCAATCTGACGTGGGTGTTTGAAGCGCTTTTCCGCGGCAGATGGTATTTTTTAAAATTTAATCAAAACGTTAGTGTCAGAAAGTGATATATGGAAATCTCTATTACATCAGCGTCTGGTTATTAATATCAGTGCATTTTGAGGACATGAATCTGGCTGTATTTTATCTGTGTCTAATATTTAAATTGTCCCGAAATATGCATGCGTTACAAATTTTTTTTTAGTAATTTTTACCAGCTTTAAGCGAAGTATTAACTGTTAAATAGCTCCTTTTAAGTAACCAAAACTGAACTTGCTACAAGTCTGCCTTAAAGCAAGTCTGTAACTGTAACCAAGACTTGTTTGATCCTGTCACCTGACACCTGTGAATTCAAGCAAACTAAACTATATCGGTATATCGAATTTCATTCTTTTTATATATAATAATGTCAGTAAAACACCGTAGACACGAGTATGTGCAGCACTGTATCGGCTGACTTTGAAATTGAGCTGGATTGAAGCAGGAAAGGTAATTACATGCCGCTGTAGTTACTTTATGATTTAAAAAAAAAACATTTGTGGATTGACGAATTGTAACTTGCGCAATTTAATGTGATATGACTGCACATTGAGGATTAATTACTGAATTAACCTTTTCCGCGATGTCAAATATGGTTAGTCCATTCTAAAAACGCTTTTCGTATTGTTCTATTTTTTTAAAATCCGTTGAAAAAAAAGGGAAAAGGTTACTCCAGTGGTTTACTGACGCTCAGTGGTTCAGTTACATTATTATCTACTTGACGTTCCGTCAAAAAGTATACATATGCTGCTGTTCATTCACACTGGTGGCACCAATGGCGGAAAATTTAAAAATTTGAAAAAAATTCTTGTCTACCAAAATATTGACAAAGAAGGGTGGTTTATTCCTAATGTTTGCTAAAATGTTTAAGCACGACGATTGGGATCATTCGAGACTAAACTCCTTCCTGGTAAAGGTCAAAGTAGGACTGATCGATTTTCAGAAATACTTTAATTTCGTTAGTTATTTTGGTATTTTGCACCGTCATCGTGCATGTTAATTGCAGTTAAACCATGTTGCACTGAGATTTTATTAATAAAGAACAGTAAGATGTGTGTAAATTATGGATGCTTCTTGTTTATTTAGCTTCAATTTATTGATCATTAGTTTTATATAGCTAATCTCGATTTTAATTCTTTTAAAACTATTGTAGACTGAGAAATGCATTTTCATAATCTATTTACACATCTTTACACGTTTTGAATCGATAAGCGATCAATCGATCGACTTTGGTCAAGGCAGAGAGTAATCGACAGAAGATATTTGTCAACGCATATCGATCGATATTTGTATCGATCAATATGTATGTGTAATGTACTATATCGATATTGATAAATGAAGATAACAATATACACTTAATGTATGCTCCCGAGGAAAATAGTGAGTTTTGTTTTCCCAAGAGTCTGAATGTTTCCCGAGACGAAACTCACTATTTCCCGAGGTAGTGTACATTAAGTGTTTTGTTATATAGGAACAAAATTGACCTACAATATTGACCAAGGACTGGTCAATGCTGTCGTTTTCCTAGATCTTAAGAAAGCCTTTGATACAGTTGACCATGGAATTTTGTTGTCAAAACTGTCAGCATATGGTCTTGGGGGTGCTGTGGCTAACTGGTTTAGGTCTTATTTAAGTAACCGCAGTCAAAAATGTTATGTCAATGGCCATCTTTCTACCAACCGTACGTTACTTTGTGGTATTCCACAGGGAACTATTTTGGGACCATTGCTATTTTTATTGTATATAAATGACTTGCCAAATTGTCTTGAGCACTCCCAAGCACGAATGTATGCAGACGACACCAATTTAACATTTGCAAGCAATAAAATTGAAGATATAGATTATTACTTTAATCAAGATCTTGAAAATGTTAATAAATGGCTTATCGCCAATAGGCTTACATTGAATCAATCCAAAACTGAATTTATGCTAATTGGCTCACGACAAAGAATAGCTACTTTCCAATCAGACCCATGTTTTAAAATAGACGGAATTCCTATAGACAAGGTTTCACATACAAAATCTCTAGGAGTTCACCTTGATGAAAATCTATCTTGGAATATACAGATCAAGGAATTAACAAAAAAATTGCTTCTGGTATTGGCGCTTTAAAACTCGTTCGTTCATTTGTCCCAGTTGCAACATTGTATTTAATTTTTAATTCCCTTGTCCAGCCATATTTCAATTATTGCTGTACAGTTTGGGACAATTGCAATAAAACCTTGGCAGATAAACTTCAAAAACTACAAAATCGCGCAGCGAGAGTTTTGACCTTTTCAAGCTATGACACTAATGCCGACATCTTACTCGATAGACTTGGCTGGAAAAAGTTATCTTCCCAACGCCAATTTCAAAAGGCTGTCATGGTTTATAAATCACTCAATGGACTTGCTCCACAATACATGGGTTCCATGTTTGTAAACCGTGACAGTGTCAATCCTTATTCGTTGAGAAACACAAATAGTAAGCTGGCTGTTCCTAAGCCTCGCACAAACTATCTGAAGAATAGTTTTAGTTATAGTGGTGCGATGCTATGGAACAGCCTACCGATTGGGCTACGGCTAGCAAATAACCTATCAAATTTTAAAGCGGGCTGTTCCAAATTATTTTAATCTACATTCACATTTGTATTATATTATATTTCTTGTATATATTCCTTACACGGCTCTCATGAAAAGCAGGTATATTAATTATTAGTTTGATTTATCATTGTAAATATTTTTGTAGTCTTATTTTGTAATTCATAATCTTGTCATTTGTCAGCATGAAAATCCTGATTGAGAATACCGTGTGTAAATAAAGTTTAATAATAATAAATAATAAAAAAAGAAACCCACTTTACTTTGTTATGACATGAAGCGGGCAACAATTTTTCACTTGTTTCCCTGGCGGGTAACATTGCATTTATTTAAAGTCATGTGACTACGAATGAACCAATCACATTTAAAATACACAGAACCTATATAACAATCAGTAATGTATAAGTTGTATAAGTTGTTAAATCTTACAACTTTCCATCAAGTTGAAGTCGTAATTTATGTGAGTTAAATCTCAAATCAGTTACTCAAATGAGCGATGTAGCAGCGTTGAAGTAACCTATTCAACGAATTGGTTCTGCTCATAACAATGGGAGGTTACTTGACTTAAAAATTGCTCAAATTTCGAATCTTTGTACAATATTATGTCTGAACATCAACTCTATATTCGTAGTCATTCAGAAGTAAAGCGGGAGAAAAATGCAATTAATAATGACGAAATATAGCAAAACATTTTGTTTACATTACGTCTTCGTCGCACTGCACAGACTAGAAGGCTAGAAACATTGATTACTTTGATAAATGTTTAAATTTGTCTGAATGTATAAAACCGGGCAATGCTGCATTTCATTATTCCCCCAGTAGGAAAAAAATGCTTCGAGTAGTCGAGTACCCAACGAATATGCGTAGTAATTCTTTGATAATAAGGCGGACTGGGCGGTTTTGTTTACGAATTTTATTTTTATAATTTTATTGTTTTCTAATAAAAAAAATTAGTTAATTTTGTGCAACACCGAATGGTGAAAATCGTTTTTCATTCATGCCGTGCTACCACTCAAGACTAGTGTCTTCTTCCTCCAAAAATGACTTGTATCAGGAGTTTATAGAAAGCAGTGAGGAAGAATGCTGCGTCCCGACGGTCTCGTATTTGTCTTGTTTCTATGCAACGATTGCTTGAAGCAGTTGAAGGTTTCGTATTTCATGCTTAAACAAACCTGTTTTATTCCTGTCTATCTTGTGGCTCGTATTACTCAGATGTAAACATACACCCGCGCTGAAGCATGTGCGCAGTCATCATTGTAAACCAAACGTACGCTAAGCGGTAACAAAACCCTTCGCGCTTTTAGGGAAAAAAAACGACCTAGTCTTAGCCGGTAGTGTGTAAGCCTAGCGATGAGCAGACACGCCAATGGAGTCGTAAACGAAGGCCTGGACAAAAACGAATCGGTCCTAAACGGCACGAGAACAGACGAAAGGCCAGGAATAGAAAACACGTCGGTCTCGCTGGAGATCCACGAGAAACCCGAAGAACGTGAATCTTGGGGAAATAAACTTGAATTTCTTTTAGCGACCATTGGGTTCGCCGTCGGTCTCGGAAATGTTTGGCGCTTCCCGTATCTCTGTCAGAAAAATGGAGGAGGTATTGCTCTATATATGTTTCTAATCTATTTCATATCGTGTGTTGTTGGTATTCGTAGTATGTTACAATATATAAGCGGCCGTTGTACGTATTTCACAATATGAAACTACAATTAGTCTGGCGAAGACAGAAGGATTAATTCACATCAGAAAAAAAAACACACCGAAAGTACCGCTTTCGCAATTTAAAGCAGGTACTCGATAATCCAAAGTCCGTGTACACTTAGTTTCCTTACGCTAAGCTGACCTTTCTGTTGCAAAGCTTTTGACGTTTTTATCAACAATGTTTTGACATTGAATTTTCTCCTAAGTTGAAGCCCAGCGCATATTTTTTCAGCATCAGTTTCGAACGAGAACAGCCGACGGTGTGTGCATGGGACTTGTAAAAAAACGTTGTGGCACAAGTAATGCGTATTAAACATATTTACCGCATACTTTCCGGCAGATCAAAATATTTAAGCGTGTCTGTATGTACACGTCTGATAGGGCTATTCTGTCATGTTTTTATATATAGTACATAACATCCACCACAGCCTTTTCACATTAAGAAGTGAAAAAGGCGCTGTGTAGTTTAATAAATAGTATTCTAGTGAATGTG